ATTACAACAACCTAGGATTTGAGGAAGAGAAACACCAATCCCTGTGACTATCTAGAGCATATATATATACGGCTTTTATATATGGTTCTTAAGAGCATAAGTAGTTGTCACAAGAACATGACGTTTCCAGATCTGTATTCTGGATAATAATTTACATGACTATCAACTTTTGAAGCAGGAATCCTCTCTTATTCATGTTTATTCTCTTAAATACCTATTGCTTTGTGTATTTAAGTTGCTCATTAAATCAAATGGAATTGATTCAGTATCGAAGGACATGAAACTGAAGGAAAAAATGGAACTTAAAATTGTTGATAAGCAAGATCTAGACTGACCAAAAGAACTCAGAAGAAACCAAAGCTGAGCAGTATTTTTTCTATATACCAGACTTTGTTTATATAACTTTTATCTATGGACTTTCATTACCTATTAGAAAGTTATCGTTGCATCGGAATACTAGCTTAGAATGTGTTGTTGGTAGGATAACTGGCTAGAACAGGGGCTGGAATAGATAGTCTTATTCATAAAGCCATGTCTAGTTACCAGAAAATGAGACTCTTCCTCCCTGATTTTCCATGGAGTGGGTTAAGATAACAGTGTGCCACCAGCCATTATTTTCTTTTTCTCTTCATTTTTTAAATAGAGATGGTGTCTCACTACGTTGCCCAGACTGGCCTTTGAACTTCTGGCCTCAAATAATCCTCTTCCTGCCTCTGTCCCGCAACCATGCCGGGCTCTGTCCACCATTGTATATTGCCACAGGGCTGACAGTTTGGCAGAAACCTCCTCTGCCTGGGAAGAGCACTATCCCTTAGGAGAATTTATTTATTTATTTATTTATTTTTGAGATGGAGTTTTGCTCTTGTTGTCCAGGCTGGAGTACAATGGCTTGACCTTGGCTCACTGCAACCTCCTCCTCCCAGATTCAAGTGATTCTCCTGCCTCAGCCTCCCGAGTAGCTGCGATTACAGGCATCCGCCATCACGCCCTGCTGATTTTGTATTTTTAGTAAAGACCGGGTTTCTCCATGTTGGTCAGGCTGGTCTCGAACTCCTGACCTCGGGTGATCCTCCCAACTCAGCTTCCCAAAGTGCTGAGATTACAGGCGTGAGCCACCATGCCCGGCCTAGGAGAATTTAGGTTTTAAGTCAATTGTTACTTCTGCAGTGTTTTATCCTTGGGGCTTATGAAATATTGGCTGCTGTAGTTCATTAGTTAAAATTCTCCTTTCCCTTTTCCCTTAAGGCTTGGTTTTGCTACTTTCAGGCTTATTTGTATGATTTTTTTCTCTCCCTGAGCTGAAATGTAAGTGTTCCAAACTGGGGGAGAGACAAGTAGAGAAAGTGATGTACTCTTAGAAAGGACTGGGGTGTTTATAAACTGTTTTTGTTTGTTTGTTTGTTTTGTTTTTTGAGACAGAGTTTCGCTCTTGTTGCCCAGGCTGGAGTACAATGGTGCGATCTCGGCTCACTGCAACCTCAGTCTCCCAGGTTCAAGCGATTCTCATACCTCAGCCTCTCACTTAGCTGGGATTGCAGGTTCCTGCCACCACATCTGGCTAATTTTTGTATTTTTAGTAGAAATGGGGTTTCGCCATACTGGCCAGGCTGTTCTTGAACTCCTGACCTCAGGTGATCTACCCGCCTCAGTCTCCCAAAGTGCTGGGATTACAGGGGTGAGCCACTGCACCTGGCCCAGGGTGTTTACTACCAATGAGGCTGTTTCCTCCATTAGATTTTAACTTCTGAGTGCAGAGCTATGTCTTATTCACCTGTGTATCCCCACTGCCTAGGGAGGTCCATGGTGGCTGTTCAATAAATGCTTACTGATTGATAAATAAGTCAAATATAACCAACATTGCAAAGTGTTACAGGTATAAAATTGGTGGTACAGGTAATAGCACTAGAGAAACTCAGAAGAAGAAATCATTGTGGGCCAGGATGGTCAGAGAAGGTTCTACAGAAGAGGTAGAAATGTTTCATAGAAGAATCTGACTCTCTGGACAGAGATGGGATGGAATACGGACAGTGCAGACTTCCAAATCACTTAAACTCTAAGAGCCTCAGTTTCTCATTGATGCAAAAAGTGTTTTTAAAATGGAGACAGTAAACCTACATCATAAGCAAAGAGTAAATGAGATAGTTATATAAAGTAATTAGCACAGAATGTGATACACACAAAAGAACTGTTTTCCTCTGCACTTTTGTCTTTCTTTTACTGACCTGTATAGCCATCCCATTGGATTTGAAAGTTTTCCTTAGTGTTCTAGAGCTTCTGGTGTCATTTTCTTCATCGCTCCAGGAGCTTTCCACATATCAGAGGAGATACTCCTGAAGCCAGGGAGGCTTTGTTCACTCTCTATGGATAAATGAGATATACAAACATACTAAATACTTTTTATTGTCTATCCTTGAGCACATATAACCATGTTGGGCATGGGGACTTTCGCTAGGCAAAACATTTCCAATTTTATCTCCATTTCCACCTCATAGAATTTTATTATTAGAAGAGTTCTAGTAGGGCTCAGTGACTCATGCCTATAATTTCAGCACTTTGGGAGGCCAAGATGGGAGAATTACTTGAGGCCATGACTTTGAGACCAGCCTGGGCAACATAGTAAGACCTGACTCTACAATTAATAAATAAATTATCCAGGCATAGTGACATATGCTTGCGGTCCCAGCTACTTTGGAGGCTGAGGTGAGGAGGATTACTTGAGCCCAGGAGGTCAAAGCTGCAGTGAGCCATGATCATGCCACTACATTCCAGCCTGGGTGACAGAGAGAGGCTCTGTTTCAAAAAAAAAAAAAAAAAAGAGTTATTGGAGATAATATAGTATATAACACTCATTTTACACCCAAAACAAATTTAGCCTAAAGCAATTAAGTGATTAGTTATTGGCAGAACTGTGAAGTATATTTGGATGTCTTTTGATGTCTTACCCAGTGCTCTTTCCAATTTAGCAGGCTATTTTATACTTCTATATGTTGGACAGTCCCATTCATTTTTCACATTTCCATTAACATTGGCAACCCAGTTTTTTGGTGAAATTCAGAGACATCCTATATGGAACATTTGGCTTGTTTATAAAAGGACTAGGAAGATCAAGTGATTAATACACGTTGAGAATCACTAATCTGAAAATCTGAAATGTTCCAAAAGCTGATGCTTTCTGAGTGCTGACATGAGGCTCAAAGGAAAAGCTCATTGGAGCATTTTGGATTTTGGACTTGGGATGTTCAATTAGTTCACTGAATTTACCATTTATCTAAGGAGTCCTGGTTCTATGAATAATTTTTTAGGCTGGGCACAGTGGCTCATGCCTGTGATCCTCGCACTTTGGGAGGCCAAGGTGGGCAAATCACTTGAGGTCAGGAATTTAAGACTAGCCTGGCCAACATGGTGAAACCCCATCTCTACAAAAATAGAAAAATTAGCTGGGGATGGTGGTGCATGCCTGTAATCCCAGCTACTCAGGAGGCTGAGGCATGAATATTGCTCAAACCTGGGAGACAGGTTGCAGTGAGCTGAGATCATGCCACTGCACTCCAGCCTGGGCGACAGAGCAAGACTCCATCTCGAAAAATAATAATAATTTAAAAAACTGAACATATAGTAAAATGGAATTTTACAGTATACAGTTAATTTTAATACATGTTTAGATTCACATCACCACCACCACAAATAGGATATAGAACAGTTCCATCCCCACAAAGTTTTTTTTTTTTTTTAGTTTTATCTTTTTGAGGATGTCATAAAAATGGAATAATACATTCTGTGAACTATGAAATCATCAAGCAATAGAGGTACCTTTTCTGGTGGTTTTTTAAACTATACACAACACACACACACACACACACACACACACACACACACTCACACACTCACACACTCTTCAATCTTCTGAAATGACTGAAAGCAATGACACCCTGATATCAGGGTATGTATGTGCATATATATCTCTGTGTACTAAAACACATCTACATACACAGCTATATTTATTTTCTGTATCTATCCATTTACATATATGTTAAAAACATGACATCATACCGATACCTCCAGTTCCAATCCAACCCCACAGAACTCATTCTGGCCTAACCCTTTTCTTTATTTATAGCTTTTTTTTTTTTTTTTTTTTTTTTTTTTTTTTTTTTTTTGAGAAGGAGTCTTGCACTGTCGTCCAGGCTGGAATGCAATGGTGAGATATTGGCTCACTGCAACCTCCACCTCCTGGGTTCAAGTGATTCTCCTGCCTCAGCCTCCTGAGTAGCTGGGATTACAGGCGGCTGCCACCACGCCCAGCTAATTTTTTGTATTTTTAGTAGAGATGGGGTTTCACTATGTTGGTCAGGCTGGTCTAGAACTTCTGACCTCATGATCCACCCACCTTGGCCTCCCAAAGTGCTGGGATTATAGGGGGGAGTCACCGCGTCCAGCCTTATTTATAACTTCTTTCTCCTACATGATAAACGTGATTCTCGTTATTGAATATATTTAGTTATTTGTTCAATCTTAGTATATACATAAAAGTAATTTAAGAATGCTAGCCTGTACCAATGTAAGGAATAAATTTGCTAATTAGAGTACAGTATTTGTGTACAATTTTTTATCTTTAACCTTCTAGTGTATAGTCAAAATACTGTTTTCCAAAGTTTCTTCTGTTACTTCTTTTCCATCCACGTCAGTGTTATAATATTATTCATTTGTAATAAAGTTAGGTTCATTTTTTCCCTTTTTATTTCATGTTGAATTCACCTCACAACCTGATTGATTTTTTAAAAAATTCTTTATTTTTGTGTATGTCAAATAATACCAGGGTATTATTTGGTATACTTATTCTCTTTTTTTTTTGAGACTGAGTCTCGCTCTGTTGCCCATGCTGGAGTGCAGTGGCACAATCTCGGCTCACTGCAACCTCCACCTTCTGGGTTCAAGTGATCCTCCTGCCTTAGCCTGCCAAGTAGCTGGGATTACAGGCGTGTGCCACCACACCCAGCTAATTTTTTAGTAGAGAGGGGTTTTCACCATGTTGGCCAGGCTGGTCTCGAACTCATGGCCTCCAGTGATCCACCTACCTCAGTCTCTCAAAGTGTTGGGATTACAGGCGTAAGCCACTGTGCCCAGCCTAATTATTCTTTTATTCTAAGAGTCAGACAACAAAGTATAATCTGGGAAGAATCATTCCCCTCCTCCATCTCTGCTACCCTATTCCATCCTCCATTCTTTCCATCTACCCACAGTAGGTAAAGAATTTTATTAATATCTGGTTTATACTTCCTGCCTTCCTTTTGCACAAATAAGCAGGTATATGTATATTTTATTACATGTCTCAGCCTCCCAAGTAGCTGGGATTACAGGCACACGCCACCATGCCCAGATAACTTTTGTATTTTTAATAGAGACTTTATTATATAAAATGATAATACTGTATTAGTTTCCTAGAGCTGCCATAGCAAAATACTACAAACTGAGTTGGTTAAATAACATAAATTTATTGTCTCACATTCTGGCAGCTGGAAGTTCAAGATTAAGTTGTTGACAGGTTTGGTTTCTTCTAAGACCTCTCTTTGGCTTGGAGATGATTGCCTTCTCACTGTGTCTTCACACAGCCCTTCCTCTGTGCACATGCTCTTGATATCTCTCTGTGTGTTCAAATTTCCTCTTCTTTGGCTAGAAATACAGAGTAAGAAAAAGGTTAAAAACAAAACAAACAACAAAACAAAAACAAATTTTTTCTTCTTATAAGAACACCAGTCAGATTGAATTAGGAGCCATCCTAATGGCCTCATTTTAATTTAATCACCTTGGTAAGCCCTGTAACACCAAGTAGAGTCACATTCTGAGGTACTGGGTATTAGGACTTCAATATATATATATATATATATATATATATATATATATATATATGTGTGTGTGTGTGTGTGTGTGTGTGTGTGTGTGTGTGTGTGTGTGTATATATATATTTTTTTAATACGGGGTTTCACCATGTTGGTCAGGCTGGTCTTGAACTCCCAACCTCAGGTGATCCGCCTGCCTTGGCCTCCAAAGTGCTTGGATTACAGGCATGAGCCACCACGCCTGGCCTAGGACTTCAATATACACATTTTGTCAGGAGGGACAAAATTTGGGTTATGACACATACTATAGACACTCTTTTGCACTTTGCTTTTTTCACTCATGGAAATCACTCCATATCAGTTAACAGTTAACTCTTGTTCCCCAGGCTGGAGTGCAATGGCACAATCTCGGCTCACTGAAACCTCCACCTCCCAGGTTCAAGTGATTCTCCTGCCTCAGCCTCCTGAGTAGCTGGGATTACAGTTACCTGCCACCATACCTGGCTAATTTTCGTATTTTTGGTAAAGACGGGGTTTCATTATGTTGGCCAGGCTGGTCTCGAACTCCTGACCTCAGGTGATCTGCCTGCTTTGGCCTCCCAAAGTGCTGGGATTACAGGTGTGAGCCACTGCACCTGACCTTATTTTTGTATTTTTATTAGAGACAGGTTTCAGCATGTTGGCCAGGCTGGTCTGAAACTCCTGACCTCCAATGATCCACCAGCCTCAGCCTTCGAAAGTGCTGGGATTACAGGTATGAGCCACCATGCCCAGCTACAATACTTCAATTGTTTTAATGGCTAAATAATATTCCATTGTATGAATGCACCACATTTTACTTATCCATTCATCACTGATGGACATTTAGGTTGTTCCCATTTTAACTATTACACATAATATGGCTGTGAACATGGATATATACTTAGGAGTGGAATTACTGAGTCATCAGGTATTTCTATGTTTAATCTTTCTTAGGAATTGCCACAGTAGCTGCACACTTTTACATTCTCACCAGCAATGTATACATATTCCACTTTATCCACATCCTTGTCAACACTTGTTAGTATCCTTTATTATTATTATTTTATAGCCATCCTAGTGGATGTGAAGTTGTATCTCATTGTGGTTTGGATTTGCACTTCCCTAAAGACCAATGATGTTGAGCATCTTTTCATGAGCTTATTGCTCATTTGTATTCCTTATTGGGAGAAATGTCTATTTGAATCCTCTGTCCAATCCAAAAAATTGAAACATTTGCCTTTTTATTGTTGAGTTGTAGGAGTTCCTTATGTATTCTGGATACTAAACTTTTATCAGATATATGATTTATAAATATTATCTCCCATTCTGTGGACTGTCTTTTCACTTTCTGATAATATCATTTGAAGCATAAAAAGTTTTAAATTTTGATGAAGTCCAGTTTACCTGTTTTTCTTTGATAGCTTCTGCTTTTGGAGTCATATATAAGAAACCATTGTCTAATGTAAGATCATGCAGATTTTCATTTGTTTTCTTCCATGAGTTTTATAGGTTTTTTTTTTTTTTTTTTTTGAGACGGAGTTTCGCTCTTGTTACCCAGGCTGGAGTGCAATGGCGCGATCTCGGCTCACCGCAACCTCCGTCTCCTGGGTTCAGGCAATTCTCCTGCCTCAGCCTCCTGAGTAGCTGGGATTATAGGCATGCACCACCATGCCCAGCTAATTTTTTGTAGTTTTAGTAGAGACGGGGTTTCACCATGTTGACCAGGATGGTCTCGATCTCTTGACCTCGTGATCCACCCTCCTCGGCCTCCCAAAGTGCTGGGATTACAGGCTTGAGCCACCACGCCCGGCCGAGTTTTATAGTTTTAACTTTAACATTTAGGTCTTTGATCCAATTTGAGTCAATTTTTGTTTATGGTGTGAGGTAGGGGTCCAATTTCATTCTTTTGCATGTGGATGCCCAGTTGCCCAGTACCATTTGCTGAAGAGACTATTCTTTCCCCATTCAATAGTCCTAGCGCTCTTGCCAAAAATCAATTGACCATGGATCTATGGCTTATTGCTAGACTTTCAATCTTTAAAAAAATATGTTTTTGAGACAGAGTCTCACTCTGTTGTCCAGGCTGGAGTACAATGGTGTCATCATAGCTCACTGCAACCTGGAACCCCTGGGCTAATGCAATCTTCTCTCCTTGGCCTCCCAAAGTGCTGGGATTACAGGTATGAGCCACCATGCCTAGCCTCAAATATTTCTTTACCACTTTATGTATAATTTAAGAACCTTACAACAGAATATTCCATTCCCTCCTCCTGCTTTTTGTATTTTTGTCATATCTTTTACTTTATATAAGTTACAAATCCCACAGTACATTTTCCCCCTAGTCAATTATTTTTAAAGAAATTAAGCTATGGCTGGGCATAGTGGCTCACGCCTGTAATCCTAGCACTTTGAGAGGCCAAGGTGGGCAGACTGCCTGAGCTCAGGAGTTTGAGACCAGCCTGGGCAACGCAGTGAAACCCTGTCTCTACAAAAATACAAAAAAAAAAAAAAAATTGGCCAGGCCTGGCAGTGTGTACCAGTAGTCCCAGCTACCAGGAGGGTGAGGCAGGAGAACTGCTTGAACCTGGGAGGTGGAGGCTGCAGTGAGCCGAGATCATGCCACTGCACTCCAGCTTGGGCAACAGAGTGAGACCCCATCTCCCAAATAATAATAATAAATAAATAAAAGAAATTAAGCTAGGAGAGAAAATGTTTATATTTATAAACATGTTTACCATTTCTGATGCTGTTAATTCATATTATAGTTCCAAGTTCTCATCTAGTATCATCTGGTTATCATTTTCATTCCACTTGAATAACTTCCTCTAATATTTCTTTTTTCCTTTTTTGATTCAAGGTTTTGCTCTGTCACCAAGCTGGAGTGCAATGGTGTGATCTTGGCTCACTGCAACCTCTATCTCCCAGGTTCAAGCTATCTTCCCACCTCAGCCTCTTGAGTAGCTAGGACTACAGGCCTGCATCACCATGCCTGGTGAATTTTTTGTAGAGATGAGGTCTCACTATATTGCCCAGGCTGGTCTCAAACTCCTGGACTCAAGCAACCCTTCTGCCTTAGCCTCCCAAAGTGCTTGGATTATAGGCATGAGCCACCGTGCCCAGCCTCCTTTAATATTTCTTCTACTACAAGTCTACTGGCAACAAAATATCTCAGCTTTTGTCTGCAAGTGTCTTTATTTCACCTTAATTTTGAAGTTTATTTATTTATTTATTTATTTATTTATTTTTTAGTATTTGAGACAGGTCTTCCTCTGTCACCCATGCTAGAGTGCAGTGGCACAAACGTGGCTCACCGAAGCCTTAACAACCTACTGGGCTCAAGTGATCCTCCCACCTTGGCCTCCAGAATAGCTGGGACTACAGGTGCGCATCACCACATTTTTTTGTTTTGTTTTGTTTTGTAGAGATGTAGAGATGGAGGTCTTGCTATGTTGCTCAGGCTGGTTTTGAACTTGGCCTCAAGCCATCTTCCCACCTCGGCTCTCGAAGTGCTGGGATTATCAGCGTGAGCCACCATACCCAGCCTTGAAGAATATTTTCATTCTACATAGAATTCTTGGTTTACTTTTTTCTTTCTGCACTTAAAATGTCATTCAATTATTTTATGGCTTATATTGTTTATGATGAGAAGTCTGTAGTAATTCTTGTAATCATTTTCCTGTATATATGTCTCAAGATTTTCTTATTTTTGCTTTTCAGAAATTTGATTATCACAGTTTGAATTACTTTAGCTAGATAGTAAGTGTAGAAATTGGGTAGACTGATTCCTTTATTCTTTCTTCTAAATTGTTTTAGCTATTCTAGTTTCCTTTGCCTTTCTATGCTATATAAATTTTAGAATAAGCTTGTCAATCTCTAAAAAAAAAAAAACCAACCCTCAGGATAGTTTGATAGGAATTGAAGTAAACTGCACATTCATTTGAGGAGAACTGACATCTTTTAAATTTTTTCATTTTTCTAATTTTTTTTTTTTTAAGAGATGGGATTTCTCCATGTTGGCCAGGCTGGTCTTGAACTACTGACCTCAGGTGATCTGCCCACCTTGGCCTCCCAAAGTGCTGGGATTACAGGTGTGAGCCACTGTGCCCAGCCTCTAATTTTTTTTTTTAATAGAGAAAAGATTTCGCTACATTGTCTGGGCTGTTCTTGAACTCCTGGCCTCAGGTGATCCTCCCACCTTAGCCTCCCAAAGTGTTGGGATTACAGGCATAAGCCACCATGCCTGGTCCAATTGTTGGTATCTTTACTATGCTCAACCTCATAATCCAAGAACACATTATGTCTCTCCATTTATTTTGATCTTTGATTTCTTTCATCAGTTTTTATAGTTTTTAGCACAGAAGTCCTGGACATGGTTTGTAAGATTTACATCTAAGGAGTTCCTTATTTTTTTCTTTTAGGGATTTATAAATGGCATTGTAATAATATTTTTAATGTTGGTGTCCATGTGTTCCATGCCTATACATAGAAATGTGACTGATTTTTGTATGTCTTATATCCTGCAACCTTGCTAAACTTAATAAGTTTTATGATTTTTGGCCAGGTGCAGGAGCTCATCGCTATAATCCCAGCACTTTGGGAGGCCAAGGTGGGAGGACTGCTTGAAACTGGGGGTTTGATAATCAGCCTGGGCAACAAAGCAAGCAAGATCCCATCTGTTACAAAAAATAAAAAACTTAGCCAGGTATAGTGGCATTCACCTGTAGTCCCACTGTTTGGAAGGCTGAGGCAAGGGGATTGCTTGAATCCAGAAGCTGGAGGCTGCAGTGAGCTGTGATTGTGCCACTACATTCC